GGGGTAATGGTCGGCACAACCTTGGCAGCCATGGTTGGCCCAACTGTGGCTGCCATAGTTGGGCCGACCATTCTTCCCCATAGTCGGTCCAACTATGGCAGCCACAGTTGGGCCGACTAAGGGGAAAATGGTTGGCACAACCTTGGCAGCCATAGTTGGGCCAACCTTGGCTGCCATAGTTGGGCCGACCATGGGGGACAATGGTCGGTACGACCTTGGCAGCCAAGGTCGGTCCAACCTTGGCTGCCATAGTTGGGCCGACCATCATAAAGTAAATTTCTCTCCTACCATTGACAAATGTAAAATGTTTTTGTTAATTTACTTGTAATTGATTAATTTAAAAAGAAAAAAGGTTATATGTGATTAATTTATTATTTTGAATTACTAACTTTAATTTTTTTCAAGCTGTAGCTTATAACATTTATTTTTCTCCGTGACTCATATGTCATTGCGTAGTGTAGTGGTTAGCGTATTAGACTGCGGTGCGTTAGGTTGCGAGTTCGATCCCTGCGAGCGTTAAAAATTTTAATTTGTATATATGTATGTTTACGATTGCGTTTAGTGTTTAAGTATATAAAATAAATGTATAATGAATTTAAAATGATTACTAATATATGTTATTTGTATAACAAATTTTTATATTTTAATGTTTATGGTCGGCAAAATTTTAGCTGCCAAGGTTGGCCCAACCATGGCAGCCATAGTCGGGCCGACTATGGCTGCCGACCGTCAAGTTGGATGGTCGGCAGCCAAGGTCGGCCCAACTATGGTACCCATAGTTGGCCCGACTTAGTCGACCATAGGTCGGCCGACGTTATCAATTCGCTAGTTGGCCCGACCATCGGCAGCCATAGTCGGGCCGACCAAGGCTGCCATAGTTGGGCCGACTATCATAGCCGACGGTCGGCAGCCATAGTCGGGCCGACCATGGCAGCCATAGTTGGGCCGACCTCGGCTGCCTTAGTCGGGCCGACTATGGCTGCCGACCGTCAAGTTGGATGGTCGGCAGCCAAGGTTGGCCCAACTATGGCTGCCATGGTCGGCCCGACTATGGCTGCCGACCGTCGGCAAGGATGGTCGGCCCAACTAGGGCAGCCTTGGTCGGCCCGACTATGGTACCCATAGTCGGTCCAACTTAGTCGACCATAGGTCGGCCGACGTTATCAATTCGCTAGTTGGCCCGACCTCTGGCTGCCCGAGGTGGGCCGACCATGCACATGGTCGGCCCGACCATGGGCCGACCGACAATTCGCACCTGGGATTAAGTAAACATTTATCTGTATCAAAGAATTATATTATTTGAATCAATTAAATGATATTTGTTTCAAATACAAAAATTATTAGTTCAAAAATACAGTTTATTTAATTTAAATAAAAATTATTTGTTTCAAGTAAATATTCATTTGATAATAGTCAAGTAATCGATTATTTGAATAAAATAAATTTTTTTTCACTACGGCAATTTCACAAAATTACACTTTAAATAGTAGAATTTTTAGGTTAGAAATCTTGTAAATTAACAATAATTGTACAAAAGTGCCAACCATGTGATATAAAACTATATAGATAATGGCGGTAAATTTAAAAATTGTTAAAATATATTGATTATTATTTTTAATGCTCAAAATATGATAAATATTGAGAAATTTTTAATATTTTCATCAGAAACTAATCTTTGTGACAGTTTCTGTGAAAATGAGAAAAATAAGAAAGTAATACATAAAAAAATAGAAAAAAAAAATTTAGAAAATATATGAAATTCTAAAAATTAAACAATAAATTTATGTTGTATGTAGATATTTATTTGAAAGAATAGGAAGGCGTTAATGAAAAAAGATCTTGATTCCTTTTCACATGAACCTAGATCTTCTCGGATCTTGCGTAAGGGCTCCTACTTTCTGGTATATCCTATATGATCATCGCATAATCCGGTGTGCCGCAATCAAATTGGTGGGGTGACGAATAAAGAATTCAAATAATTTCATATATTGTATTATTCAGTATATTTTCACTGAGGAATTTGCTCTGACTTCAAACATTTTTTCTAATAAACTTTATAATATTTTTAATCTATCTAATTATATAAAATTGTTTGTCTAAAAAATATTTTTTATTATTTGTCGACAGCATTGTGTAGGATATATGTAAAAAAATTAAGATTTTTAAAATTTTGGAATTATAACTGAAAAACTTTTTTTTTTACTTTCAACTATTAAATATAAATATAGGTAATTAAAATATTCAGCACCTGTTAAAATTACCATATTAATATGTTTTATTTAATAGCTCTTTTATAAATATTTAAAGCCCTAAAGTTGTTAAACTAGGATCAGAAATTTTTTTTAAATATAATTCCTACATATTTAATTGAAATTCCAAAAATTTTTAAGATTTCCATAATAATGAAATTTTCATAAAACAATCAGTTTTCTAAATACCAATGAGTTCAACGAATTTTCTGAATCTTTCGAACTTTCTAAATCAACATCTACTAAAGTTACCATATGTATTATATGATATCAACGTTAACTTCTCATTTGACATTCAAAGTTCAAGGAAATTCTCAAATTACCTAATATCGAATATTTCGAATAGCAATTGGATATATGAAAATAATTAAATAATACAGTTGATTAGATATCAAATTATTTATTTCTTCTCATCGTTGTTTTTTGAATTCATTCTTAAAATTTTATCGAATTGGTATAGAAGAGAGAAAAAACATATATGTTGCCACAGAGCTAAATAAATATATTTATTTGGTCAAACAAAATTTTTGTTTAAGGGGAGGCACCATCCTTAATTTTGACCCGCACTTAAATTTAAATTATTAAAAGAGGTTATATATATTTTTCTTGCATCATTAGAGTCCTAAAAACATATAGCATGGTCAAAAAAAACAAAATTTTAATTTTTGACCATTTTAGAAATTAAAGTCTTAAAAAAAATTAATATTTTAAATATCTATCTTCTTTCATAATTTTAACTATTTTTCATCGACAATTTTTTTCCATGCTTTTTTAATGATTCTCAAGAATCTTTCGCATGGATTTTCAAAAATATATTAATTTATTCAAAAAATAAAAATTCTAAAATGGTCAAAAATTAAAATTTTCTTTTTTTGAACACTTTATATATATGTTTTTAGGACCCAAATGATGCAAGAAAAAAAATATAACCTCGTTTAATAATTTAAATTTAAGTGGGTCAAAATTGGGGGTGGTGCCTCCTTTTAAAATAAATAAATAGTTATTTAGTTCTATAATAAATATATTTTCATTTTTAAAAAATATAATAATAATATAATATAATAATAATCTATATTAATAAAATTCACTTATTTTTAAGTCACATTCGTTCGCAATTTGCCAATAGATTTATTTGTAATTATAATTGAAATTCTTTTACTTTTAAAATTCCATGCACTCTTTTTTTTTGAGTAAAAACAGAGTCTCTAATTGTAATTACATTAATCATTTGTAGATCAAAGAATCTACTAGAACTAGATCAACTCAAAGAAGAATGTAATCTCACTTTAAGGAATTTAGAGAGTAAAATAGCGGAGTTAGCACTATTTGACAATAAAAAGAAAGCTTTCAATTTTCGTAAGAATTTTAATTTTAAAGATATACAATGAGAGAAATTTTTTATTCGAACCAAATATAATTTATTTGAATTAAATAATAAAAAAAACATATATTTGTCTCAGTGCTAAATAAATATTTATTTGAAACAAAGAAATATTTGTTTAGTTCAGAAACAAAATTTATTTTTTCATAAAGATTTACATGTAAGGAACGTAAATTCATCAGAATTAAATAATTTACATAATTTCATTACTTGTATACAAGTATTTTTAAATTAATATATTTATAGGTAATTCGACGAATTTGATAATGAATTTATAAAAGCACCTCAAATTATATTTTAAAAGCGTCAGTTCAAAAAACTTAATTCAGGCTTGCCATGGGTAAGGGAAATAAGAGAAAATTCAGGGAATTTTATGAAAAGTACTGGAAAAATATCAAATTTCTAAAAATATTACTAAAAATGTGCTTTTAAAAATCTACTAAAGTGGTACCAAGTAAATTTGATAGTGGTACCAAAATCTTCCTAAATGGGACGAATTGATTTGCGAAATTTTAGAAAATAGCTTTCAGAATGCGATACCAAAAAGATTTGAAATCACTGAATTACTTTATATAAGTTACCAATATAGTCTTCAAAATTTGCTACAGAGTTTTCTATTTTGTACCAAAGAGCTGTTCAAGTGGTACCATTTTTGAAGTGGTACTAATAGTTTTGAAAAATGATACCAAAAGTTTTCTACTAAAGAACTTTTAAAGTGCTATACCAAGAGCTTTCAATCTGTTACTAAAGATCTTTGAAAGTGCTACCAATTAGATAACAATTTATTGGTACTAAAGAAAACTCTATACCAAGAAATTAGGAAGAAACAAATATTTGGTAGGAACAAACAATTTTTGTAATATTACAAATTTTAAAGCTATAAACATTTCACACTGCTACCAAAATTATTTCACGGTAGTACAAAATGTTTATGAAATATTACAAATTCAAAGTAATAGTAAAAAGATTTGAAAGTATTTCCAAAGAGATTCCAATGTGGTACCACATTAAAAGTGGTATAAATTTCAAAAGTGCTCGTAATAATATTGAATAGTAGCTTTCACTCCAGATAAATGAATATTCAAGACGGATAATATTGTAAAAATTTATTTTTCCAGTAATTCTCTTAAAAACTATTAATAAATATATAGAAATTAATATTCCAGACTGTCAATATCCTGGACTTCCTTGAAATATTATCCTCCCCTACGTATACTTCCGTTAAATCGGTGTTAATGAGAGGCATCACGTGTGAGGTATCGCGCCTAACGGTGAAATCGATGATCGGATGTCTTGCTTCGATAGCAAAGGGTTCCAAGACTTTCTCTCTCTCTCTCTCTCTTTCTCATCAAGTGAAGAATAGGACTCACCAGCTGTTGGCTCCGTTGTTATTGTCGCTGCACTTTCTATCCTTGCCTCTTCTGGACCAAGACACACTATTTTCACTCACGATTTTTCAAAGGATCATCATCTAATGCAATTGTCACTCGTCTATGGAGGATTGATCCCATGAACAAAAAAATAAAAAAAAAAAAAAAAAACCTAAGGTAACTGTTCACCGAGGTAACTATGAAAAGGGGGTCGTGACTAAACAGCTGGTGGAGTTCCTGTCAAAGGTTCTCTCACTCTCTCTCGACGATTGTATATACATACGATCGGATTGCGTGGTATCAGTGTATATCGGCTAGGTGAAAGCCGAGAAGAGCGACTGGCCAAGCCAGCCATCCAACCGATCCGAGAGACCGTCAGAAGGAAACCGGCGACAAGGTAGGAGCGAATCCGTTGTCCCCTCTCTGCTTGATTTCCACAAGAGTTACTTTCACAAGAGAGTCTCTCAAACAGTGTATGTTAGGGCAGAATATGAACAGAATCGAGCCGAGCAGCGAGGCGACTTGTACTACAACAAGACATGCTCAGCGGTTCAAGTACCGTTTCTTCTTCTTCTTCTTTAAGATATATAAACTGCGCTCATCTACCCACTACTACTGCTGTTTATAATAAGTACCAAAAAAAAAAAAGAAACACTCGTTTTTCATTCAAAATCTCTTCTTTCGAACATTACCTAAACGTTTAAAACAGACGCAGCATTGCGCCAGTACTGTGTATGATTTCCATGTTAACAGTTACCATAGAGACCGTTACCATAGCAACCGTTTTCATGGCAATCGTTACCATAGCGACCGTTATCATGGCAACCGTTAACATAACCGTTACCATAGCAACCGTTTCCAAGACAACTGTTAGCATAGCAACCGTTTCCATGACAACCGTTACCATGGTAGTAAACGTTACCTTAACAGGCCACGAAACCCTGCAATGGAAGCGCCATGCATCTGCTTCTCTCACATTTTTCTCTTGTTGTACGGTAAATACCTTGAACCCCCTTTACCCTCGAAATTCTACGCAATTTATGGATGACCCTTTTTTCTAGTCGAATTTATATTTTGCAGAATTTTTAAAACGTCGAATTTTCATTTTATACAACAGAAAAATTTAGGCATATCCTATACACTAAGAGTTAAATTAAAATTTGAACCCTACACTGAGAAAAAAGGTTTGAGCTGACAACCAAATATTTCATTCAATATATGTGTAACTAAAATTTTTTGGTTGACACAACTAAACTTTAGTTGACAACAACCAAAGTTTGTTTCAGACGACTAAATAAGAAAATGAAAAAGCATTTGGTAGTCTCAACCAAACTTTGGTTGATGTCAACTAAAGTTTAGTTGTGTCAACCAAAAAATTTTAGTTGCACATATATTAAATGAAATATTTGGTTGTCAGCTCAAACTTTTTTTCTCAGTGTACGGGATTCGAATCCCGACGCATAACTTATACAATCTAAAAACTTAACCTAAAGCGCTTTAAGGGGGTAGTCTGGTGTTTAGGCCTTTTTTTAGGAGCTTATTTAAGAATTTATTTTTATTATAAAATAAAATATAATCACACCAAATCATTTTACATCGTTTTATTCTCCTTTTGAAGTGTTGAAATAGTTATTTTCGTATCAAGGGCGCAAAATAGGTGATTGTGGCGAAGGCGAGATTAGAGAAACCAAGGGGACCCGAAGCGCCCGAGGCGAAGCCGAGGGTGCGTAGGGTCGCCGAGGTTTCTTCATAATCTCGCCTGAGACACTATCACCTTTTGCGCCCGTGCTGCGAACAACATTTTTTGTCCTGTCTGCATGGAAAGTGTATTATTGAGTGCATGCAAGTCCGCTTGCTTCAATGTTCCATCAGGGTTGGGAAGATAATATACTTAAGGTAAATTACATGTAGTTGTTTACGTATATTACGTATGTTTATTATGTCACAAAAAATGAAAACAATACATTTTTTAATGGTGCGGGCGCGAATGTATTTTGCGCCCGCTTCTATGACGTCAGCGGGCGCGAATGTACTTTGCGCCCGCATCTATGACGTCAGCGGGCGCGAATGTACTTTGCGCCCGCTCACCCCATCTCTGGGCGGGAATCACTTACTTTGCGACCGCCTCAAGTGCACGAAATAACACACTTTCCATGCAGGTAGGACAAAAAAAATTATAATCGATTATTTTTTACTAGACATTGTTATTTATATTTAATATTAATGTTTATATCAAAAAAATGCTGGCGCAGATGATTTACAAAAATCTGTTCGACCGATAGCTCCAATTTTTTTTTTTAGCTTATTTTACACAAGTATGGCTGCACAGAAAATTAAAAGGCATTAAAATAAGAAGCGTTGCAGCTTATTTTAATGCCTTTTAATTTTCTGTGTGTGGCCCGTACTAGAATTACGCAATTTTAATGATAACTTTTTTTTTATTTTTAACTTTTTGTCAATAAAAAAGAGACAATTTTTGAATCTTTTTGCTTATATAGTCCGCTATTTTGTTATTTATTAACAAAAATGTTTTATTCTAGTACGGGCTAAGAATAAGCTGTAAAAAAAATTGGAGCAATCGGTCGGATAGATTTTTGTAAATCATCTGCGCCAGCATTTTTTTGTTATAAACATTAATATTAAATATAAATAACAAAATCTAGTTAAAAATAATCGATTATAATTTTTTTCAACACTTCATGATTAGAATAAAACGAAGTAAAAAGATTTGGTGTGATTATATTTTATTTTATAATAAAAAAAAATCCTGAAATAAGCTCCCAAAAAGGCATCGAAACACCAGACTACTCCCTTACACTGCAACAAGAAGTATCTTATTTTAAGATGTTTTGGTAGCGTTTTTAAGACATTAAGACATTTTAAACATCTAAATGCTACCAAAACATCTTAAACTGAGATACTTCTTTTTGCAATGTAAAGACCGCGGCTATCGAAATTACAGAATTTTAATAATTCGAATTGTTTAATGTCAGAATTTTTGTTTACACGAATTATTATTTATGATAGAATTCCTAAAACAGCGAATTTTCATTTGACAGAAATTACAAATGGCCGCGAACAAACAAAAGTCAAAAATATTTTGGCGCAATTTTTAAAATACAATATTCTTAATGATTTCTGATTGATCCATTTTAAAAATTGTGCCATAATATCTTTCTGACGGTTGTTTGTTCTGACAATTGCAATTTCTGTCAAATAAAAATTCACTGTTTTAGGAATTTTATATATCATAAATAATAATTCGTCTAAATAAAAATTCGAATAAGTGGAGAGTCGCTAAATTAAAAAATCTGACATTAAACAATTCGAATAACGAAAATTCTGTTGAATGAGAATTTCGATAAATTAAAATATCATTTAATAATGAATCAAATACGTTCTACCAAATTTTATTATAACTATAGTAAATTTCATAAAAGTTTATTAAAGATTATTATTTCTTATATGGAAATTTCGCTTTTTACAATAATGGGTTTTCAAGTAAATCCGATGCTCTTTGATTTTTAAAGAAAGTGTTTTTTTGCAATGTACCGCAAAAAAAAATATGTAAAATGGCGAATGTTTTGAAAATTTGACCTAATTTGTTAAGAAAAAAAATGTTCTCAAGTCGAGCACAGTGTAATTCGAAGAAATAAAAATTTGGCTCAAAGTAAATTCTATGTAACAAAATTCTGTCAAATGAAAATTCTTACAAATTAATTTTAAATCTTATTCATGCACTGACAAGAGAAATGAATGGTTGAGGCTACTATTTATTTTTTAGTAAACAAAGTATTTATTCTGTCTATTTAATTAGTAAAATTCAGTAATGTTTTTAGTGAATTTGAATATTTTCGATGTCAAGCGCAACTATTTAGAATTCGTATAAAGAGGAAATAATAACCACTTCTACCAAAATAATTCCAATTACCACCAATGCAAAAATTTAACTAACAGAGTGGTTGGGTTTACAATTTTTTTTAGTGAACGCGATTGGCAGTTGTTAGCAATACGGTTGGCAACATTGTGAAGCACGCTCATGCTCGACAAGCAATGTCGTGAGAAAACGTGGTCATTTGTGTTTATGTTCTTATACATTTTATGTAATTATATAATTTCTAAATAAATTATTTTGTTGAGTGTTAAAAAAGTGCCATGGATTTGCGGAAGTTATTAATCTCATGGGAGTTCAAAGAATATGTAGATCGTTTTGAATATGTAAGTAACAATTTAGCAAATTAACCTAATCTATAAAATTTATTTATTATTATTCGCATCATTTAAAAAACTTTATTTTACCAAATTTTACTTGGTACAACAAGAAAGATATAATATTAACTTTATATTATAATAAACATATTTTTTTGAATGTAAATAATATTAAATAAATAATTCCGGTTGTAAGTATTTTATTTATCGAATTACCTATTTTATTAGTAAGCTTACCTAAATTTTATTAGTAAGATTAACTAACTAAATGTTAACTGTTACAATATTTATTAGTTGTTAGTACTAACAAAAGTAAGTTCTCCTTACTATAATAAAATGGTAACGACAACTATTTAACTTTTTACTATTATAAATCGTATCCCTGACTATCGAATTATTAGCAGTATAGTTTACTAACCAAAATGGTATTCATAACCATTTTATCAGTTGCCTCAACTACTTTGTTCTCTCAGTGTGCGTCACAAAATAAGGCAACTCGTATATATATATATATATATATATGTGTGTGTGACGCGATCTGAAGAAAGGGACCTTAGAAGCAAATGAATTATTGGTTATGTTTACAATAGTTTTACTTGAACTAAAAGATTATTTTTGTTTTTGTAAAACTGAAATCAGTTTTTATTGAATATTTTGGATGCAATAAAGACCTAAATATCATTAGTTTGCATTACGAGTTGAACGTCTTTGTATATTTTCACTTTAAAATTTCTAAACGTAACCTATAATTTTTTGCTTCTAAGGTCCTTTTCTTCAGATCGAGTCACATATATATATATGTAACATTCACCCAATCAGCACGAAAACTTGCAGCAAACTTGCAAGAAGCTTTCCGTGCAAGACTTAATACGTGCAAAACTTAATACGATGCGCAGTTGTAAACTACAATAAATTTTTTAACCTCCAAAGCAAGGTGTCCTTTATGTTTATTTAGTAACAAATTGTTTGGAAAAATTTTTTTTTTTAGTTTTATACAAGCTGGCCACAAGCTTTTTGCAAGCTTGCTTAACTAACTTGCCACAAGAAGACATTTTGTTGCTTGCACCAAACTTACTACATGTTTGCACTGTAATCTTGCACGACAAACTTCTTGCAAGTTTTCGTGCTGATTGGGGCACCAAAAGTTGCTCAAGAATTTCCGAAAAATTGACTTAAAATTTTATTAATTTTAAAATTGTAATTTTTATCGCAAATCAGGAAATCATGAGAATTGGTTCAAGATTTTTAGTATAAAATTAATAATATAAAATATATATGTACAAATACTAAATAGAGTTGCTGGATTCTAGAAGGGCACGTAAATTTTTTCGGCCGGAAAACAAAGTCCCCTGGACACTCTAAATTCATTTTTCGAATTTTAATATTTTTCGAACATATTCTTATACAGAATTCCATTGCGCATCTTTTTTTCTTAATATAAGAAATTTTCCATCTTTTTCCGTTTTCGAAATATAAGAGAAAAACTGTTTTTTAAAAAAAAAAAAAAATTTCATTGTTTTTTTGACTTCAACTTGCGACAGCTCAGACAATTTTACGAATTTCTTAATGAAACAAAAACGAAAATACGTGTTATTATATTCTACGAGTGACTAAAAAAAGAAAACAGTTGTTTTGATTAAAAATAAAAAAGTTATTAATTTTTTAATGAGACATTGCAAAATTCATGAACTGCAATTTGCAGTGATTCCTGTGAGGAATTTTCGTAAATTTTCACCATCAGCAACAAACTTCACTCGTAGAATATAATAACACGTATTTTCGTTTTTGTTTCATTAAGAAATTCGTAAAATTGTCTGAGCTGTCGCGAGTTGAAGTCAAAAAAACAGTTTTTCTCTTATATTTCGAAAACGGAAAAAGATGGAAAATTTCTTATATTAAGAAATAAGATGCGCAATGGAATTCTGTATAAGAATATGTTCGAAAAATATTAAAATTCGAAAAATGAATTTAGAGTGTCCAGGGGACTTTGTTTTCCGGCCGAAAAAATTTACGTGCCCTTCTAGAATCCAGCGGCTCAATAGACATAAATATATATATATACTAGGAATCCTATGAATCTAAGGTCACGATTCCTGTATAAATAGACCTTCCCTAGGACGCTTATATATATATAAGTGTCATAATTTATTCTCCACTTGATACTTCATGTGGAGTGTCTCCATGGCGAGAAGTCAGATGAAAAATCGCTTTTAATATAGAGAAGTATAAAAGTCTTTTTTTTTTAAATTTTTACATAAATATGTATTTAAAACAGAGAATAGGTATATACATATATTTATATATTTAAGTTGTATTGGTGTTTTGTTACTGAAACCATAGGCTTCGGTCTCGTTTGATGATTATTTTTTTCTATTGATGCTGGTATAGTGATGGTGTTGGATGATAGGGTGTATTGCTAAAAGTAAAGACCAAAAGGTTCACGTGAGATGGATTTGATTTACGATATATAAGATGTGGTTGAATGTTTCTTGTATGGAGAATATGCGGATCAGTCCGGGTGGTAAAATATTTTATATATCGTGGGTGTTGTGTATGCTTTCATCGCGCGAGTTCAAATATCTTACTCGCCGAATATAAGCAATATATATATATATATATATATATATAGGATTGATGGAAAAAATTTGGGATCACAGGAATATTGTTCCCTTATTTTTTCACGTAATCGTTTATTTACAAAAGTCTTGTAATATTCCATTTTAATAGTTCAATGTTGAATACACAGAAAAAACCTGGTCTCAAAATGAGTAGTGTACGCTACTTATTTTGAAGTGCAACAAAAAATGAGCCAGGTTGGTGGCGCCACTGTCTATGTCGTTTAGCATTGGCTCATTTTGAAATGCAACAAAAATGAGACTAGGTTTTTTCTGTGATATTGTAGTTTCATCAGGTCGCATGATTATCACATAAAAATCATAATTTAGAATTTTCATTTTAAACAATCTCATTAGATATAATTATTTTTTAGAAGAATTTTTATTTTTCGAATTAACATTTATAACAGAATTTCTGTAAACGAATTTTTACTTAAAGGTATAATGTGGGCAAAAGACGTTTTTTTTGTAGTTTGAAGCTTTCCCTGAAATAAAAAATGATTTCGGGTTAAAAATTTTTTATGAAATGATTTTATTTGTTACAAGGAATCTTGCTGTTCTACTCATTTACCTTAACTTAACGCAAAAATAATAAAAATAAAGCAATAAATAGTAAAATAATGTATTTTATCATAGTTCATTCAGCGGCCACTTGCTCGAATTGTCGCTGACTTCTGGAGTACTGACACATTTTCTTATACTAGGTCACAGAATTTGTTGTTAAAAAATTTTTATTTCACAGAATTTTTCTATATCAAACTTTTTATTTAAAAATATTCTTATTTAACTCAATTTTAATTTAGCATAATATTCGTAAGGTGCTTTTATACCTCCAGTATTTTGGTCAAGCAATCGGCTTGATTGGCTCTAAAAATATTCAATTTTCACAGTAGAAATGGAATATTAGTCAGAGCCAATCAAATTCAGTGATACAACCGTGAAAATTCAATCCAGCCGATTGCTTTACCAAAATACTGGAGGTATAAAAGCACCTTTATTCAACAGAATTTTAAGCGATTTGAATTTTTAAATGTTAGAAATTCCATTTCACTAAATCTCCATTTGTCATAATTTTTATTTATATACGAATTGTTATTTGATATAGAATTCTTAAAAAGACGAATCTTTATTTGTCCGAAATTGTAAATAATGACCGAATAAAAAAATCAATTGAAAGATTTCGGCGCGATTTTTAAATTTGACCAATTATTATTACTTATCAAGAAAATCTTGATGACGTTGAACGAGAATTATGCTAAATTAAAATTCGACTAAACTAGAATTCTTTTAAATAAAAATTTGTGTAAAGGGAAACTTTGTAAAATAAGAATTCTGATAAATAAAAATTCTCTACCTAATAATACTGTAAAGTTCCATTTCATCTAGTTTCATTAAAATTTTCAAAAAAAAAAAATAATAATAATAAATTCTTAAAATATAATTTTATTGAATAAGTAATATTTATTATTATTGTTATTCAATACTTAATTAATATTAATAATAATTACAAAAACAAAAATAATAGGTAATAAATTTTTTTAAATAAAATAATATGTATTATTATTCTTATTTAATATTCAATATTAAATTAATATCGCAATAATATTTAAATATTAATGGATTATAAAGAAATTTGTGATTATTGTAAAAAATGTACGATAATAGTTAAAAAAGAAAAAACATTTTATATGTTGTCCTGTTTTATAATTATTGAATGTGCTGAGTACATATTGAAGATTTGTATGCACAAGTTTCATTTATTTGTTCTCAGAGCTACTGAACTATTTACCTACTTCTTCTTCTTCTTCTTCTTTCTGTTTCTTTCTACTTCAAATATATTAAGAAAAACAAAAAGTACTGCCATGCACTTATAAATTGTGATTTTATTTTTAAACAGACTTTAAATAATTATAAATGTAACTATAAATAATTTTTTTTTATATAATTTAATATATAATATTATTTATCATAATTTTGCTACGATTTTTTCTTTAGTTAAGACACATTTATAAAAAAAATATGTTCATTTAATTTAGTTACCTGCAAAAATTAAATTGTATTGTAACTAAAATGAAATTTGTTTCGATGACTTACCGCAACGTGAGAAAAAACCGTCAGCCTTTAATAATTTATGCTAATTATATATATTTGAAATGATGATAAATAATAATTCTAAAATAAAACCTTTGACATTTTCATTTTCTACTTAATTATTGGTTTTGATCGGATGTTATCTTTCACTTTTTTTTTTTTTTTAATTCTCACTGAATAATTAGCAAAACAATCAATAGTGTTTACCATTTTCTATAAATTATGCATTACAAAAAAAAAATCATCTTAGAAGATTTATTTATAAGGTTTCAAAACAGAACTTTTAATTTTCTTTTTTTTAAATGACCTTTGAAATATTTAATTGAGGCAGCAATAAAATTTTTTAATTAAATTATTATAGATGAAATCAATTTAGATGAAACAAATTTAAACACTAATTATAAATATTTTAAAAACTTTTAATCAAATTTTTCTTTTGAAAAATTAATTAAATTACTTTTTTTTCTGTAAAAAAAAGGGAAATTAAATACGTTTCTTGTTCATAGAAAAAAAAATAAAATTGAAAAAAAGCATTAATGAATGGGGAAAAAAATGACAATAACACATTTATAAGAACTTTATCAGACCTTGAATTTATTAATATAAAAACTTTCTGTGTCAATTACGCTTTAAAACAAACGTAACATATATTGTTTCATGAATTTGTCAAATTATTCGTAAATTTAATACTACATCAATAAAGCACAGCAGATAATCGTCACATAAAAATGAATCAAACATTAAATAAAAAATTAAAATGTCATTAAATTTACCAAATAAATTAATTAAATTTAAATCTATTGGAGTGTCAATAAAAATTAAATGCTAATCTAAAGTAATAATTTAGATTATTCTGTATTGCTGCATTCAGTTTATCTAATATTAAAACACACACTTCAATTATGTTTTTTTTTTTAATTTCTATATTCAATTAAATCGATTAATAATTCCTGACACAAAATATAGATCTCTTAAAGTTCTTTTTTTTTTTTTCTATTACAATGTGGCAAAATTTTTCATCGAGTATAGAAAACACTTTTCTTATCAAATAAGTTATGATAACTTAAAACAACATCAATTAAAAACATTTTAAATAAATTTTAAACAAAAATAATCATTTTTATCTGCAAGAAATTTCACTTCAATTAGGAACGCTCTTAAGCTATTGAGAAAAAAAAATGTATTGTATTTTTCTCCAAATATTTAACTAATATATTTTAGAAAAAAAAATACAATTATATTGATTTAAATAATCAACGATCCATTGAAAGATTTAAAGTATCTGTAGAATCCGAATGATGTTTTTTAGTGCTCATATCTAATGTTGAAGTAAAATCAGTTTTCACATTTGACATTGCCAATTCTTCTATTAATTTATAATTCGAAGTTTCGCCTAAATCTTTTTTTCGTTCTCCACCAAAATCATCAATTAAATTTCTATTAACTGGTTGTTGTTGTGGTTGTTGTTGTTCCTGAGACGTTGGCGATAGGGAAATTTTATAGGGACTTGGAATCATATCTGCGGATGGAAAATCACTCGATCTTCTCTCATTAATTTCTGATGGTATTTCTGGTGCTTTACCAAGTGGTCCAAAGAGACTAGCAATATTTCTCATATACGATGACGAGGCCTTTGTAAAATCATTTAGAGAAAATCCAGAAATTTTCGCCAATTCACTAGGTGAAAAATTTGTTAATTTCGATAAATCGGGATATTTTGTCATTTGTTGTGTGAGACAATCGGTTAGTGGATAATCGGAAGCTCTCGATTTTCCATGATCTAAACTTGGAAGATTTAAAGTTTTTGTAAAATCAGGTGGTGTATATTCATATTCATTTTTTGCATTTTTCAATGAAACTGTAAGTTCACCGGCTCTAAAACTTGGAATTGTATCGGTTTGAAGAAGATGTGTTTGATGTTTTATGATATCAGTTTTCAATAAACCACTACTACTACTACTACTACTGCTAATATTCTCTAAAGAATCTTTTCCTTGATGATGATGATGATGATGATGATGTGATGAGCCAAATTGTTTTGTTATCGAGGCAATTGAATTTGAATTATCTGGTTTGAAATTTAATGGTGTGAGAAAAACATTTCCCGTCGCATTCATTGCATTCGGTTTTAATAATTGCTCGGGTACTAAGGGAAATTTCATTAAAAATGGATCAACATGATTTAATGAATTTGAGAAATTATCCTCAAAACCGGGACATATCATTTCTCGAATTGCATCCCAATAGGAACCGTTCGTTCGATTTCGTCCAGGAAGTTTTGACTGTAAAGAACTCTGCAAGAAAAATTAATATCTAATAATAATTAACGATCTAAATTATGATCAAAGTAATTTTTTTTCATAATTTTTAATAATTAAAGATATTTCTATAGATATTATATAGTAGCAATTTAATAAGTGAATTAATAAATTAGTGAACAATTAAAAATTTGTTTGAAAAATAGAGGTAATCCAGTGACATTTCTATTGCAATTAATGCGATAGTCGTTTTATGATTAGTTATCTAAAGTACATAATATAACGATAGTGACAATATCTTAAGAAGTAAATTATTTATTGTCACGATCAAGAACTACAAGCACTGTCAAGGATATATTTTTCACGTTTGTTTTTGTTTTTTTTTTTTTTTTTAAATAAATTTTAATCTCACTTACCCTCAACCTTTCAAGATAAGTCGTATTGCCGTTGAATATGGTTTTAAAGTCGATCCCACCTTCCAATTTGTAATAATCGATACACTTTTTCTGTAAATTATGAATTAAACGATTACTGTAATTTCGAATGAAAAATTAATGAAGAATAATTGAAAGAAGAAGAAAAAGAATCGATTTACAATTTTTCTATAAATTATGAATCTTAAATGAAAAATTAATCAAGATGAAAAAAAAGAAAGATCTTAAAATTCAAATAGAACTTAAAAAAGAAGATGAAGAAGTAAAAAATTGGTCAAATAAATCTTAAACAACAAAGAAAAAGAAATAATAAAGGAAAATATAATTTTTATTTCGAAAAATAAGTTTCAAAATAAAGAAATTAAAGAATAAAAAAATGAAGTTGATCTCAAAAAATTAACGGAGAAAGAACAGATAAAAATAAATTCGAATAAATTTTGAAAAACAAGCAGAAGATGATAAAAAAAGAAAAAAATAAATTAAAGAAAAAGGAAATGAAATTTTCTAATAGATCCTAAAAATCGGGAAAAATAAACAATAAGAAGAAATAAATTACAAAAAGGAAGCGTAATATATTAAAAAAGAATAAATAATTTCAAAAACATTTCATAAACTGTAAAATTAATACTAAAAAAAAAAATTCAAAATAATCTTGATAATGAAGCTAAAGAAAAAAAAGCAAAAATTGACGATTTACATAAATTATTTTCAACTTAAAAAATTTGTACTTACAATCTCTTCTAAAGCATCTTGTGAGATATAATGCTCCTGAGACAAAGTGTAACTTAAAAGCATTGGTCGTGGATATTCATGTGGTCTACCTTCCGGTGGAGGTAAGGACCAAAATATATTGAAATTTGATTCATAACAATTACCATCAGTATTATAAGGAGCTGTAGAAAAAAATAAAATATCTGTATAAGTTATATTCATTTGAAATTTTTAAAAATTACATAACTCGAAATTTAAATGAAATAAAAAATTAAATAATTAAAATTCAAATTTCAAGCACTTACAACATACGAGACCAACACATGGTGTGTATCCATTATCACTGAAACCTTTCATTTTTATTTGATAATCAAGTTGAGAATCTACATCTCTTAATGACGGTGAGGCATGAGTTCGGGGATGAGAATGATACCAACCAACTAAAATCATTCTTTTCCATTCCATAGCACGTGCTATTTCGCCTTCAACTACAGCTGCTGCAGTTTTATCTTTACCTGCATAACGACACGGATATGCTCCTAATATCGAAAGAGCTAAAACATTTTTTCAAATAATTTATTTTTATTAATTATAACTTTGAATTTAATTGAAATTATTAAGAGGGTTTCTACAAATTTTTTCTTATAAAATTTCATGAGTTTTCCATGACAGGGTTGCCACAAAAATTTTATTTTGTCTTTCTCTGATTCTCAGTCAGAATTTAAATTTTTTCCCTAACCCTAATGAAAACATTTAAAGAGGTTTTCAATTATAAAAACTTAAGAGCATAATTTTTAAAAGCAAAAGTTTGAATTGAAAATTTCAAAAATTATAATTTTAGTAGCATTTTTAGAAATTTGATATTTTTCCAGTACTTTTTATAAAATTCCCTGACCCGTAGCAACCCCGCATGATTTTTAGGCCATAAGTAACATCATTTTCATAATAAATATCAAAAATAGATAAAAGAGAAATATAAAATGACTATTCGATAAAATGAAAAATCAATCAATTGCGCAAATTCCGTTAAATTAAAATTAGATGCAATGTAAATTCTATTAAATGAAAGTTTGGCTAAAAAAAATTGGTATAAAAGAAAATTCCGTCAAATAACAATTCTGTTAAATAAAAATTAAATCAAAAGCAAATTCCGTTGGAAAATTCGATCAAATAAAAATTCAGTGAAAATGGAAATTCTTTTAAATAACAGTTTGATTAAAAGAAAAATAAAACTACGATTCAAGGCAAGTTCAAAAGTAAAATTCGATCAAATGTATACATTGTTTAAAAAAAAATTCTATCAAAAAAATAAAATTCCAATTAAATGAAAATTTGGTTAAAAGCAAATTCTTCAGCATTTGAAGACTCTAAAGAATAAACAAAAAATTAAATTAATTAATAAAATTAAATTAAAAATTAAAAAAAATTTTAAACGAAAGTTAAATGAGAATTTAGTTGAAAGCAAAATAAGGATCCATAATTACAAAAAGAATTTAGGTGAAGAAAAAGGTAGATCTAAAAAAAAAATAGAAAATAGATTAGAGTAAAAATTGAAAAATATTTTTATCTAATACTCGAATGAATTCTGTTAAAATTAAAATGCAATAATTACTATGAGAATTGATGTCCCAATGTCCTCCCAAGTAACCACAGACTTCTTTATCAGTTAAATGACAATGCAGGTCAACAAGAAGTGCTGCAGTTGTGGATATAGTCACTAAAAAAGGTTGAATTTTTCCTAAAGTACTGAATGATGTCAGTTCTACCATTGTGCTCATGTCCCTGAAATTAATTGACGCCCAATGTAATCTGATGTTCAAAAAAAAATCGCGTCTCTAAAATATTTTCACTGTTTCCTTTATTATTTTTAAAAATCAGAAGAAAATCTATGATACAAAAAAAATATACCTGGAAACAGTGAAAATCAATTTAAGATTGATATTGAAAATCATTCAATACAATAAAACCGGAAATATGTAATAGATTAGAAATAAAGTGATTAAAAAAAAAAAAAATTATTTCTAATTACACTTTATGATTTTTCTTTTAATTTTTATTTGAACTACTTACATTGCATGACTCCGAATTCCAAGATTTGTATGTTTAACTGGTACTCGAACTATAGGAGGAGGTGGGGGTTGTGTAGGAGGTTGTGGATGTTTTTCTTGATTATCTTCTATTATTTCATTGCTAATATCCATTGCTTCTTTCTCCATTTTTGTTTTCTATATCCTATATAATAGAAAAAAAAATCCATTGCAATTAAATTATTATTAATCTATATACATTGAAATATTATTATAAATAAAAAAAACTTTCATTTTTTATTTATTACAGTAAAATAAACTCCAAAAAAAACAAAATTAATAAATGAATGAAGAAGTTAAACAGAAAAATTATTATATTTATTTTATAATTTTTAAATTCATTCGGGAACTCCCTCCCCCCTCCGTTCCTTGAAAAAAGGTTTAAATTTAAAATAACAAAAATTGTTAATAGGTAAATGTTTATAATTATTTAAAAATAATCATTTTATTTAATGTGTAAAATATATATTAAAAATCTTCAATTGTAAAGAATAATTTTACAGATATCCTACTTTTCCCGCCAATGTTTTGGTTTTGAAAAATCTGTCAAATTTGACAGTTCTGCACACATTAATATTTACATATTGAATATATATATATATGAACAAATAATTTGTATACAGATGAAAAATTGTTGAAATAACATAACTAAAAATGGTACAAATCGCTAAAGTTATAACATTGTAAAATAGAAAACTTACGTGTTTTATAATTGAAACAATATTTCAATAAATTTTTTTCGTTTTACGCTAAAAATATGACGCTAAATAACGCGATTCCATTGTTTTTTTTTACATTTACAATAAAGTCTAATTGTCATGAAAAACACACATTCTTGTCGGAGGGAAACTACTTCCTAAATTAAGGCTGTGTTCCTGCTGACCCCTAACATGTTCCGATTCAACTAAATTATTACGCGCGGTAAAATTTAAATTATTTTACAACTTGACAATTTTAAAATTTATTTTGGGTTTTATAAACATTAATTTAATAATTTCATCAGAATTAATCGTATTATTATATTTTATTTAATTAAACATAATAAATAATATTAATATATTATTAAATAAATAAAAAAGTTTTTGAGCTTAAAAAAGTTCTTATTAGTCAAATGAAGTTCTTATGAATTCTAATGAAGTTATTTTAAATCAATAATAATTTTAATTAAAAAAAAAAAAAAAAATTTCGAATCGAGCGCCAAACGCAATACCTGGGTCGTTGTTGACGTTTTTCAAGTTCTCATCCCAGTACTCCCTTATTTTCATCCAAGTATCACCATGGTAACGTCCAATCATCTTCCCCCGCTTTATAATACATTAAAGTCGAGTCCCTTTCTGACTCACACAAGAGACGCACCAGTTCGGCTCCGACAGTCCAACGAGTAGGATTGTGTTTTGTCGTTTTAAATTATTCCTATATTTTGTGTCAAAATTTTCCCCGGGGAAAATTTGGACTTGAAAGAAAGAGCGATTGCCCGCGGGCTCTCGTTACTTTAAATTAAAATAACAAAATCTTTCTCTCTTATTATTTGGATATAGTTTGAGTTTTGCCAGGGGGCTTGACCTATTCGATATAATGAGGGACATGGCGGGCAAAATTGCCGAATTAAAATTCGAGGCACCCCTGGCACGATTTGAAGAAGAGGACACGGCCAGTATCAAGAACATGAACCTACTGACAGGTGCGAAAAATTTTATATTTGTTTTTTCAGTAAAAAAAAAAAAAAAAAAAAAAAAAGTCGCTTCAATAAAATATTTCTCTCTGCTTATTTAAAACTATGTCACGGCTTCGGTCATTCCATAATCGGATATACGGTCAAGCTAGAAAACATACATAATTTACAGATTCCATAGACTTCATCTCTTCTTCCTTTTTTTTTCTTTTCTCATTACGCAAAAAATCTTTATTTTGCTTTTACTACTGTGTTGTTGATAAATGATTGTGTTTTCTTTGGAGCTCTGTTATAAATAAGTTGTTGATTTTGTAAACAATCTGTGCTCTATATTGTAGAGTTAAAATTTACATTTTCAATTTAACTTTTACAAAATTAATTTTCAAATTAAGTAATTATAAAGACATTTTGATGACTTTTTAATGAATAATTTGTTTTCTTTGATTCTTTTGAAATTTAATTTATATTTTTAATAAGAAATTTTCTACAAATATTAAATAAAAAAAAATTAAGTGTCATATGCGGTTATATGCATTACATATTGCAATTTCTTAATAATATTTATTTATTTAAGTTTGACATTATTCGCTCAATAAGAAAATATTTTTATTGTTTTCATTAATAAAACGACCGACAGTGATTGTCATTTTTTAAAAGTGTTTTTTAGATAACAAATAATTTAATTCAAAGCAAAGTGTTTTTAATCATTTTTAGTGTTCATTTTTTGGAATGAAATTGCTTTAAAAATAAATTGAATTTAAAATTAAAATATTATTCCGTTAAAAGGGTGTAATAAATTTTCATCTAATATATTATATTACTAATGGCTTTCAAAATAAGTTTATTAATTTAATTAATTTTAATTTTCTATTTAAAAAAATGAGCCAAAAGTTTTGAACGTTCAAATAAACAAATTTTTTTTTGTAAATTCTTTACGAATTTTATTACAAAATATATTGTTTTAAATATCTAAAAAGAAGTTATTAATTTAATATTTGTTTAATTTACTGTTTTATTTTACATTGACATTAAAATTTTTAATAATTTATAGATTTTCATTTGAACGTTCAAAACTTTTGGCTCATTTAAAAAAAAAAAAATGAAAAAATTAACTCGGAAGTAAAATTTCTATTTTTTGGAGGAAGTTTAATAATAAATAGTTGATTGAAAGTCTCTTATATTGTTCAATCTAAATTTTTATGTAATTACAATTTTTATTATTACATAAATTGTAAATTATAATTTATAAACTCTGCATATAAATAAATTTGCAATTTGTAAATTAAAAAAAACTTAATAAAAAAAAATGATAAATTAATTAATTTATTTATTAATTATTCGCGCACATTTTTATTTTCTTGCGTGAAAATGGTTTCAATAATGAAGTGAAATTTTATACATGTTGTATCATTGATGTTATATTATAGAAGAAAATAAATTAAAAGAAAATAATTAAGTGTAGAAAGCAATTGCAAGTTTCGTGAGAGGCAAAGAAAATTATTATAAATCCGTAACGCACTAAATATACATCAATCCCATTGAACTACATTTATCAATTCCAGTTTCATCATTAAAGCAACACAGGCAAAAAAAAAAATTATATATACATTCATTGCAGTAAAAATAATTACAAATCGTATATTTAATTGAAAGAAATTATATTCAGAGAAATTTTTTAATTAAACAAAATATAATTTTTTTTAATTAAATAAAAATATATTTTTCTCGAGAATTAAATATAACCATTTATTTGTTTTAAATAAAAATTTTGTTTCTCACAAATAAATTTTTTATTTGAATCAAATAAAATTTCTATATGAATTAAATAAACATATATATTTGTCTCGAGAGAGTCGAATAAACATTTATTTGAATCAAATAAAATTTATTTAAAACAAATAAATTCATATTTTTGAATAATTCTTATAAGACTTTGTCGCGCGCTCTTAATTTTGTGAGTGGTACTTTTCCAATTTATGAATCTCCTGCTGCTATATTTGAAACGCAAACAAAAAAAAAAAAAGAAAAGAAAAAACAAAATATGTGAAGACAGATGTGAAACTTGAAGGAAGAATTCTAAACATAGTTTGTAATAATCTTTTATATGTCAACTTCTGAAACTCAAGTCAATCTGAGTATATTTATATGAATTTGAATTTGTGGGAAATTGTAACATGTAATAATTGAGATCTCAAAGAAATTTTATGTGATGTTGGAAATAGAGCGTGTGGATCTGGAATTCACTCGAGAATTTCATTTATACCTATTCTATAAGATTAAAAGCATTCCGCGCGCACTTATAAAGTGAAAATAGATTTTCATATTTACAAGTAGTATATATACATATGTCACTCTTTATAATTTCTCATGTAACATTTTAATCAACCAAAAGTTCTATAAATTAATTAATCTATAAATTATTAAAAATTATAATGCCAATGTAAAATAAAACAATAAATTAAACAAATATTAAATAAATAACTTCTTTTTAGATATTGAAAACAATATTTTGTAATAAAATTAATACTTAAAGAAGATGCAAAAAAAATTTCGTTCATTTGAACGTTCAAAACTTTTGGCTCATACATTTTAACACAATTTGTAATTATTACATTTTACATACAAATAATAGTGCCATTCTATGCGTTTTTTTTATCACTTTTCGGAGTAACCTTTTCAAATTAAATGAAACATTTTTTTTTTTATAATATTTATTAATATAAAAGTCTAAAATAATCATAGTTAATAAAATACAAAAAAGTAAACAAACATTGTTTAATAAATTGTGAGTTAACTGTTTTCTAATACATTATTTTTCTTGTGCGGTATTAAAGCGTGAAAAATAAAGAAAATTTTGATCTTTAAACCAATTTATTTGGTGGTGCAGAAAAAAAAGTGAATTTTTTCCATTATTTATTGTTGTATTTTTTAAATAAACAATTGTTTTTACTTAAAAAGTGATTATTTTAGACCTTTATATTAATAAATATTATAAAAAAAAAATGTTTCATTTAATTTGAAAAGATTACTCCGAAAAGTGATAAAAAAACGCATGGAATGGATGACACTGAAGTTACCAACGTTGAATCGACGAAAAGAATTTTCTTTTTCCTAAGATTGAATATTTCCCTGCCTTAATTGAGGATTTTTAGTATTTAAAGATGTATTCGGGACTAAAATAAAGAAGTTTCAATTAAAAAAAATTGGTTCTTGGCCTTTAAACTAATCTGAAAACGAAAAATTCGTTCGTCGATTCGTCGAATCAACGTTGGTAACTTCAGCGTCATTGGAATGGCACTATTATTTGTAAGTAAAATGTAATAATTACAAATTGTGTTAAAATATATGAGCCAAAAGTTTTGAACGTTCAAATGAACGAAATTTTTTTTTGCATCTTCTTTAAGTACGAATTTTATTACAAAATATTGTTTTGAATATCTAAAAAGAAGTTATTAATTTAATATTTGTTTAATTTATTGTTTTATTATACATTGCCATTATAATTTTTAATAATTTATAGATTGAAAAAAATATTTTGTTCATTTGAACGTTCAAAACTTTTGGCTCATTATTTTTTTTTTTTTTTTTTTTTTTTTTGTTAAAAAGTCTTAAACTTGGCTCCTTTTTTGGGATATATATATTTGAATTTGCCTTGAAACCATTTACAATTTTTGTATGAAAAATTTCGATGAGCTTTGCGATTCTATATATATATATATATATATAATGCGGGCAATATTGACTCATTTATATATTGAAGATTTAATTAAATTCAAGGTCGCATTATTTGACACATATATTTGGCGTAATTTATTTTCTAATAAGTAAAATGAGACATTTCTTCATTAAAGAGCAAAATAGTATATTTGCAGATATTTTGCAAAATTAAAGAGATTTATTTTTAATATAGAGAGAAAAAAATTATTTCCGCCCATTTTACAATGAATTCAATATTATTTATTATCTTCATAATTATAATTTTATTATAAAGATTTTATTTTTTTTATTATTAATATATTGGTAATTTATTACATAATAATTCTGACATTTTTTTTTTCAAATTTTTATATAAAGAAAAAAAATTGTTTGAATTTTTGAACAATAAACAATTTTACAACAATTTTGAACAAATTTAAATTTTAATAAAGTTTATAATATATAATTTAAAAATTTTTTAATTCGATTTTTTTTTAAATTTCCCAAGTTATTGTATTATTATTTTTTTTTTCTTCAAATTTTGCAAAAAAAAAAATGTTTGCAGAATAAGAACAAAATTAATCTTCAAAGAATATAGCAATATATAATTATTGACCTCCTGTAACGTCAATTTGATTATTAATTATTTGTTATCACAAACAGCAATGTGTATATAGTGCATACTAACAAACTTTCTTCACATTTACGTTTATGTAAGAGATAAGCTTCATTATACAAATATAGAAACAAAAATATTTTTAACTAACTTTATAGTTTGCTTGTTAAATTCTTGAAGAAAACACGCGTTTTTTTAAATTTCAAATTCAATTTCAATTTTTTTCGAATTCAAAAATTCAATTTAATTCGTCATTTTTTGGCAATATTTCAATGGGTAATTAATAACTTTATATTACAAAAACAAAAAATCTTAAATACCTTAAAACAACTAAATAATTGATGAATTATAGTTAAAATTGAAAGAATGATATAAAAAATTAGTAAAATTGGTATTAAATTTTTACTGATAATTTTTAAATTAATTAAAATTATTAATTGGAATTATTATTATTATTTATTTATTATAATAATGTAACATAGATAGATATTATATCTTTATTAATATTGGAATTAATTAATATTAAGTAATGAGTGTAATTATGTAATAGATCGTGGAAATTATATAAGTAATATATGGTTTAATATATTCGTTGATTAAAATTTGTTTAAAGACTTGAATTAAGGTAAATTAGTATTAATTGTGATTGATAGAAGTATAGAACATTGAACCTTAAAGATGGTCATTTAAGGGAGGAAGTCTTTGTTAGGTTTGCTGATACAGTCATATAACCGGTTTGTGCCAAAAACGGCACACTCGACTCTAAAGGGTTCAGAGTATCGACCAACTCAACTTTTATATCATATAGTAGAAAACAAGTGCGGTCAAGAAACGTTACAGTGTTATAAATTTTCACATTTACTATATATATTTTCATTTTATTCACAAAATGATTCCAATCATAAAAATCCGCAGTGCAAATCACGGTATAATTTTTATAAAAGAAAAACCATTCTCTCAACCAAAAACTATATTTTAATAAACGAAATAAATATTTTAAAAATCGCACAATTAAAATTTTCTTTAATTTAAATATTTTTCTTTCTCTTTTAAAATTTTGGTTTATTTGTACGAAAAAAATTTTTTAAAGTTATATTTAAATCTGAGAGAAAAGTATTTTTATTCATGTGATTCAAATAAATTAAAGGTTTGAATAAAAAATTTCTCTGCGTGTAAAGTGATGTTTAAAATGATAGAATTTTCTTAAGCCTCTAATATATATATATGTTTCGATATAGTGAAGCGTAAAAATGACCTGGTTTTCATTGTTTTTTGTTTTATTCTTTTGTTTTTAGAACAATTGTTGGATGCGAACCTCGAGGCTAGTTTCGGTGAAAATTGCAATGCAAACGAGCCAGTAACGACACATGAAAATGGAACAGATATTCTTCAAGAGGGAACTTTTAGTCCCTTCAGCGGAAGCTTAGAGGACTTAGTGAATACCTTCGACGAGAAAATCACTTCCTGTTTCCGTGATTATGGGACTGATGTTGAATCCCTAGCGCCTGTACAAGTCCGAACACAAGAGGAGATTATGAACGAATGCCAGTAAGTCTTATTATTTTTTTTTTTTACACATTTTGAATTTTAAAATTTTACTACACTTCCAAATTTAATACACTGAATGAAAAAATTTATTCAATTCAAATAATCGATTACTTGACTATTGTCAAATAAATATTTCCTTGAACCAAATAATTTTGATTTAAATCAATTAAATGGTATTTCGTTTTCAAGTACAAAAATTGTTGGTTTTAATACCATTTATTTAAATCAAATAAAAATTTTTTGGTTCAAGTAAATATTTATTTGATAATAGTCAAGTAATCGCTTTACCAAATTTTTAATATAACTTAGTAATTTCAGTTGATAAATTAATTTTCAATCCTAGAAAGCACATTTGAGGTAGAAAACTATCCTACACGGAAAAAAAGAAAAAGTAACTTTTACTACTTTAAAAGTAAAATTGGACCTGTCCGAAGTTTCTGCGCATCTCTGGCAACTTTTACTCCAAAAATAGTAAAATTTACTTCAGAAATAGTAAAAATTACTACGGAAACAGTAAAATTTACTACAGAAATAGTCAATTTTACTATTTTTCGAGTAAAAGTTGCCAGAGATGCGCAGAAACTTCGGACAGGTCCAATTTTACTTTTAAAGTAGTAAAAGTTACTTTATTCGTTTTTCCATTTTTCTCCGTGTAGAAAAAATTCAAATTTCGGTATTTCTTGCAGATTTTGTGTTTTTTGTAATTTTTTGGCCATATTTTTGATCCTATCAAAAAACGCTATCTTCTTCCTTATAAAAAAAGGAAGAAAATTATTTATAATAAAGTTATTTTGCGTTAAATTTGAACATTCTAGTAACAAAACAATTTTGGAGTGGTTTTCTACCCCAGATATGCTTCTACGTATGAGCCAGGTATGTTGTGCTGTCTAGGGTTAAATAAATTATATTTTGCCTAAACTGTATATATGGTTTCGCAAGTTAATTATTGGATTTAAAGAAAAATGTTCTTTTAAAAAGTAAATAAAAAATTTAAAAAAAAAGTAAAAAATTAAGAACAATATTTTCTAAATGGAAAAAAGAATATGGGAAAAGAAAAATTTATTTGAGAGTAAAATGATAAAATGTGATATATGGAAATAAACTCTTATTAGGTAACAACGATCATTTTAATCGTTTAATGATTTAAGAGGCTGTCTCGTTGGTATCGATTTTCTACTTTCTACCCCTTTTGTTAATGTCGAACAACTAGAAAGCAAAGTGATTCACTGAGCTTTCAAGTGTGTATATAGCTATCCCTATATACTTGTCTCTTATTTTTCCTCTATATACCATCGTCAATCCCCGTCCTGTATTAGCTCTTCTTCAAAACTATGTCACATAAATTTCAATTTTCATCTACAATCCTGTATTTTAAAATACATTTTATCAGATGAAACGCTTTGCTTTTAGAATTTACAATTTATCCATTATTGATTTCTCCTTTAAACGGAAAAGAAAAATTTGATTCAAAATTATATTTATTTTTAGCATCTTAAACTTTGTACTTCTCAAATCTGATCTATACGACAATTCATAAAGTTATACAAATTAAAATATCAGAATTTTTAGGTTTGGAATCTTGTGAATTGACAAAATACAAACTGCCAACCACGTAACCCGAAACTGTACAAAATGTCGCTAAATTTAAAAATTGTTGTAGGGTAATTGACTATTTAAATGAAAAATTGCAATAATGAAAGAAATTAGTAATATTTTTTTGAAATTTTAATAATCGTTCAAATTCATTTTGAACAATGTGTCCAGTAGCTTTTGGAAAATAGGGAAATATAGACGGGAATTAGCATAAGAAAGTCAAATGAAAGAAAGTTTGGCAAAAGTAAGTTTTGTTTGCATTTTATATAAAAAAAACCTCAGTTTCTGTCCAATAAATATGAAAATTAAAAACCTGCGGTATGTGAAGAAAGATAATACGTATATTGATTATAGAGTAAATGAAAAAAGTGTGCCGCTCTCACTGTTTCCAGTCTACTCCCTGTATATGTATATGTTTGCTGTATTTGTAGCTTTCTCTCAATAAATGGACTCAAACTCTTAAAAGGAAGTGCGAATGATAAGATTATGTAATACATAGAGCACTTAACGCCTAATAAATAGTAATCTAGCCCGAGGTGTGTTTTTATGAGTACAGCTCAAGTGTATCGAAACATATATACATAAATAGTATACCTATATATATATATATACTGTGGTACACATGTATGTACTTTACACACATGCTATACAAAAGGGTTGATCCATGCATGAAATTGATCAATTGTCAACGAAAGCCTATTACATCATCTTTCGACACTTTAGATTTTGAAAAGGCGACGATGAACTTGAGATTCCCTTAACGAAGACCCTTATTTTTCTCACTTTCTTCGAACCATTGACTCCCTCAGGTAGAAAAGAAGTCATACTAACCCTCAATCATGTCAAGGTACACAATACGCCCCTATTATCTAGAAAACGGAAATTGGGGAAAGCTGCACTTTTTCAATGCCGAAGAGCCTATTTCCTGAGATTTTTATAAATTGCATTCAAAGTTTATACTTGCAGTAAAATTTCGCTTACAAATTAATTGTCACATTTAAAAAGTTTACAAGGGAAGCTAAAAATATCAGACACCCGAGAATTAAAAAATTCTTCTATTTAGTACCTAAATTCGCAATTATAAACAACAACAAAAATTACTGTGATGACAAATTTTTATTTGACAGAAATTCTCTTTACCCAACTTTTTATATTCTAAATATGTCGAATTTTAATTTAGTTATGAATTCCCATTGAACAGAATTTTATATGTGGTTTTTTTAGTGACAGAATTTCCAATTCACCAAAACTTCATTTGTCCGAATTTTGCAAATGGCCGAAACAATTATCAATAAAATTGTGATTTTTAAAAATCGTGCCAACAACTTTTTGTTCATTATTTTTTCGGTCATTTGCAATTTCGGACAAATGAAGATTCGGTGAATTGGAAATTCTAGCACTTAATAATTCGGTTAAATTAAAATTCTTTCTATTAAAAAGTTAGGTAAAGAAAATTTCTGTAAAATAAAAATTCGGTACATAAAAAAGTTATAAAAATTAGTTTAATAAGAAATTCTGTTAAATGATAATTCGAAAAATGAAAATTTATCTAAAGAATAAATAGGTACATATCTAATAAAATTCTTTAAAATGAAAATTATAATATTTTTTTACAGTATACAAGCAAATCTCTATTCCCTGGAAAATTATCTGATGAGTCCAGGAAATAGAGGTCTATTATTAAAATTGTATAAAATTATATTCGTGAAAATTCACAAATGTATTATATTAACTTATTTAAGGCCAGGTCCAAGTCGTGTCAGCTGTTCCATTGAAACTCCAAAGGAACAGCTGACTCGGCCTGGACCTGGCCTTAAGTTATATATAAATTCTATTAATATTTAATAGAAATTAGAATAATTTTATTTTATTTACTAAATTAACTAAAACATGTTATATTGGAATATATATATATGATTTCATGAAGTCGTTATATAGATATACTTTAAGATTAATATTTTTTGCTATGCGATTATATCCAAAGAAGTTAAATAAGCTCTAATTTTAGAAGATTGATGACATTTTGTCTCGAACTAGGGCTTAGATTTTAAAATGTCTTGAAAATGTCAGCAACTAGCTCAACATTATCTCTCCTTGGCCGCGGTATTCGAATGCACACTATAAAGTTTAAAGATTACTCTCGCTAAATGCCCAGCGGCCTTTTGCCAAAAAACTCGAAATTTCAGACAAAAATAAAGTCTCTAGAGTACTTTCCATACATTTTTTTTTGTTTTTTCTTCTATCCAGGCAGACATTTTATTTTACTTTGTAAGTTGAAATTTTATTTTTTTACATATTAAAATGTGTGAAATTTCACTCCCTTTTATGATGCTGAAGTTTACAATGTTTATGATGAACGATTTTTAAAGAAATATTTTTTATTTAAATCTTAATTGAAATTTGTAATAATAGAAGTACCTAAAAAGTTTTCCTTTAATTTAAAATATTTTTAATTTTTTAGAGACAAATTCTGCAGTGTATATGAAAGCTTTTTCTTATTCCCCTAATCCTTAATAATCTTGATTTATTGTTGATACCTTTCTTTAAAATACATACATACAGTATTTACTACAGTGATAAGGCAATGAAATCGGTGTTACTATAGGCATTAAATTGCGAAAATTTTTAAATCCATTTATCAAGATTAGGGTCACATATGTTTTGGATACAAATGTCTCTACAGCTTTAAGGATTTGAATACATTCACATTGCTTATTGTAACAATCTAAACGAATCATGAAATGTTTGGAAGTGTTTCGAAAATAGTATATTTACATAGTCTCGTATAATATAATATATAGTTAAATTACTTTTTGAATGACGCTGAAGTTACCAACGTTGATTCGACGAATCGACGAACGAATTTTTCGATTTCAGATTAGTTTAAAGGCCAAGAACCAATTTTTTTTAATTGAAACTTCTTTATTTTGGTCCCGAATACATCTTTAAATACTAAAAATCCTCAATTAAGGCGGGAAAATCTTCAATCTTAGGAAAAAAAAAATTCTTTTCGTCGATTCAACGTTGGTAACTTCAGTGTCATCTTTTTGAGGGCCTTCAGGAAAAGAAAATTATTTGGTTCAAATAATGAATTACTTCCCGAGGCGAAATTTGAATCCTCTTTAGCTTCCCTTAGAACCTAAATAGGCCCTCTTTACGATCTTGTAGACTCCCGTAGGCCCTCCTTTGAATCCAAACGTGGAAGAAAGGTAAATTTGCGACTGGTTGAGGAAGCTAAAGAGGGTCTAGTTCGATTAAAAAAGTACAAAAAAAAACTCTTTTAATTATTTTGATTAAAGCAAAATGAATTTTTTCTTCACACAATATTTCTTTAATTACCCTTTAAAAACTGGAATTAACATATTTTGAAGCGTTTTCAAAAAATTAATAGAATTAGAGCAATTTCA